TCACATTATAACGCCCCAAGGCTGAAAGGGTGAGCATGTTTGGTGGGACGGGGATTCGAACCCGCGACCCTCAGATTTCGAGTCGAGTGCCCTAACCACCTGGCCAGGGTTGTTATGAAATGGGTAGGTGGTATCTGTGAAAGTACCATGGAATATGTTGATTGTGTATTTCAAAGTGTCATGGAATATATTGATTGCGTATTTCAAAGTGGCATGGAATATATTGATTGTGTATTTCAAAGTGTCATGGAATATATTGATTGTGTATTTCAAAGTGTCATGGAATATATTGATTGTGTATTTCAAAGTGTCATGGAATATGTTGATTGTGTATTTCAAAGTGTCATGGAATATATTGATTGCGTATTTCAAAGTGTCATGGAATATATTGATTGTGTATTTCAAAGTGTCATGGAATATATTGATTGAGTATTTCAAAGTGTCATGGAATATATTGATTGCGTATTTCAAATTGTCATGGAGTATATCGATTGCGTATTTCAAAGTGTCATGGAATATGTTGATTGCATATTTCAAAATGTTATGATTTATCTATTTTCTATGTCTGAAAAAGGTTGTGTGATATGTTGTTTTTGTTTGTTCAATCATGTGTTCGAAAGTATTATGATATATTGTTGAACGTGTTTAAAAGTATTGTGATATATTGTTGAACGTGTTTAAAAGTATTGTGATATATTGTTGAACGTGTTTAAAGAATTATGATATATTGTTGAACGTGTTTAAAAGTATTGTGATATATTGTTGAACGTGTTTAAAAGTATTGTGATATATTGTTGAACGTGTTTAAAAGAATTATGATATATTGTTGAACGTGTTTAAAAGTATTGTGATATGTCTCGTTTTTACGTTTAAAAAAGTTTTGAAGTATATTGTTTTCATGCTTGAATGGGTTATGAGCTCTTTTTGATTGTATGTTCAAAAATTTTATAAGATATGCAGTTTTTATTTCAAAATGTATTGCGTATGTTGTTTCTACGTTTAGAAATGGCGTGGGGTATCAGTTCTAAATTTGAAAGTTTTATGTGTTATGTTAATTATACTTGAGACTGTTATGTGGTAATATCGATTCTATGTTTCAAAGTTTTATGATATCTTAATTATACTTGAGACTGTTATGTGGTAATATCAATTCTATGTTTCA